ATTATCCAGCAAGGTTTGCTTCAGAGCAGTTACAAGTCAGCTTCTCCATCAAAAATCTAGCAAGAACAACCAAACCTTTAACTGTGGCCAGTAAAAATGCAACAAGTCTCAGGTCACTTCTTGCCACCGTTTCACCAAAGCAGTGCCACAGTTTCTCCACTGCCTTGTTGCCACAAGCCTTGCTCACTTCATGTCTTGCTGCCCAGTGTGGGAAGCACTGTTTCTCTTACCTTAACCCCATAGCTTTTGGTGATTTGCAAGACCAAATGCCTGCAATTAAGGTAGCTGGAGACCAGAGGTTATATGGCTAAAAAAGCCAACTTTCAAGCTAACACTACACGTGCATAGACATTTACACTGCAGAAAGAGAACAACATATCCATAAATGGCCTGACAGATTATATTTCTACATACATATTTACATATGCTACAAACATATGCATGAATATAGTAAAGCATCAAAAGAAACATCTCAAAATCATTGCCATTGATCAAGTCAGAACTGACTCATAGCTGACCCTCCAGCGGGTTTCCAGAGACTGTAAATAATATGAGAGCAGACTTCCCATCTTTCTCCCTTGGAGGAGCTGGTGGATTCAAACATGCTGCCTTTGGGTTGTCAGGGCAACTCCTTATCCATGAAGCCACCAGAGCTTTCTATAGTGGAACATACAGGGAACAAAGTTAGAAAACCTTAGTTATACCTAAATATCTTAAAGGAATAGGCACTGGACCCGGAATATCAGAATTATAATCTCAGAGGACATCAAGGTTAATATACATAACATAGGCCACAAACCAATGTGTCTGTAAAATAAAGCAATCCAAAAGAAAACATAGTGGAAAAAAATTTGGTGCCTTCTTAGATATGGAAAATATTTTATATTGATCCAGTAATCTCATTATTATGTATTTATCCCAAAGAAATAAGAACTATACAAACTAACATACACACACTCATGTTTACTGAATCATTATTTATAGTAATAAAGAGTTGTAAACAAACCAAGTGTCTATCCATGGAAAAATGGGTTTTAAAAAAAATTATTCTGTCTTTCAAGAGAAGGAAATAAGAGGAATCCAAATTGGAAAAGAGGAGGTAAAATTATCTCTCTATGCAGAAGATATGATAGTATACTTAGAAAACCCTAAAGACTCAGCAAGAAAACTATTGGACATAGTTGACCAATTCAGCAAAG